CATAGAATTGATGAGGGAAAAAGAGTGAGTGGTGCACTTAGGAGTCTGTGGAGACAAAGAACTTTGTCCTTGGAGGCAAAGAGGGGAATGTATGAGAGTATAGTTTTACCAACGCTCTTATATGGGTGTGAAGCGTGGGTGATGAATGTTGCAGCAAGGAGAAGGCTGGAGGCAGTGGAGATGTCATGTCTGAGGGCAATGTGTGGTGTGAATATAATGTAGAGAATTCGTAGTTTGGAAGTTAGGAGGAGGTGCGGGATTACCAAAACTGTTGTCCAGAGGGCTGAGGAAGGGTTGTTGAGGTGGTTCGGACATGTAGAGAGAATGGAGCGAAACAGAATGACTTCAAGAGTGTATCAGTCTGTAGTGGAAGGAAGGCGGGGTAGGGGTCGGCCTAGGAAAGGTTGGAGGGAGGGGGTAAAGGAGGTTTTGTGTGCGAGGGGCTTGGACTTCCAGCAGGCATGCGTGAGCGTGTTTGATAGGAGTGAATGGAGACAAATGGTTTTTAATACTTGACGTGCTGTTGGAGTGTGAGCAAAGTAACATTTATGAAGGGATTCAGGGAAACCGGCAGGCCGGACTTGAGTCCTGGAGATGGGAAGTACAGTGCCTGCACTCTGAAGGAGGGGTGTTAATGTTGCAGTTTAAAAACTGTAGTGTAAAGCACCCTTCTGGCAAGACAGTGATGGAGTGAATGATGGTGAAAGTTTTTCTTTTTCGGGCCACCCTGCCTTGGTGGGAATCGGCCAGTGTGATAATAAAAAAAATAACATATAAAAATTTAGGAAATATGTCAGGAAATCATAAGCTGAAAGCAGCAATGTTCACCTGCTAGGCATACTGCAGCCCAATTATTTAATGCAAGCTTATGGAATCACTGCTATTCCTTTCAGTCTTAAGAATAATTAATGAGAATTTGAGTAAATTCTCAGTTATTTTCATAGTATGCCTTCTGTTCTATCGATTGAGCATGAGAAATTGCCAATTCAACTATCAAAACTGCCCTATAAAATTCGATAATTTATTCAACTTTACACAAAATTAAAAACAACTTCCAATTTAAAAACAGTCTAAAATAAATACTGAAACTATTCCAGGTAATAAAAATATTTTCCCTGCTCATTAATTACATACCCAGGCCTCTCTTATATTACACTTGCCGTCCATTTTGAATTCATCAGTACACAAAAAATTGAAGATTTACCCTATTTCTTGAATAATTAAATATAACGAGGATGTGAAAAGTGGGTGATAGTAAGCGTATATGCATCTGGAGAAGAGAGAAGTGTAGAGGAGAGAGAGAGATTCTGTGAAATGTTGAGTGAATGCGTGGGGAGTTTTGAATCAAGTGTGAGAGTAATGGTGGTTGGGATTTCAATGCTAAAGTGGGTAAAAATGTTATGGAGGGAGTAGTAGGTAAATTTGGGGTGCCAGGGGTAAATGTAAATGGGGAGCCTTTAATTGAGCTATGTGTAGAAAGAAATTTGGTAATAAGTACTACATATTTTATGAAAAAGAGGATAAATAAATATACAAGGTATGATGTAGCACGTAATGAAAGTAGTTTGTTAGATTATGTATTGGTGGATAAAAGGTTGATGGGTAGGCTCCAGGATGTACATGTTTATAGAGGGGCAACTGATATATTGGATCATTATTTAGTTGTAGCTACAGTTAGAGTAAGAGGTAGATGGGAAAAGAGGAAGGTAGCAACAAGTAAGAGGGAGGTGAAAGTGTATAAACTAAGGGAGGAGGAAGTTCGGGCGAGATATAAGCGATTATTGGCAGAAAGGTGGGCTAGTGCAAAGATGAGTAGTGGGGGGGGAGGGGGGTTGAAGAGGGTTGGAATAGTTTTAAAAATGCAGTATTAGAATGTGGGGCAGAAGTTTGTGGTATTAGGAGGGTGGGGGCAGGAGGAAAGAGGAGTGATTGGTGGAATGATGAAGTAAAGGGTGTGATAAAAGAGAAAAAGGTGGCTTACGAGAGGTTTTTACAAAGCAAAAGTGTTATAAGAAGAGCAGAGTATATGGAGAGTAAAAGAAAGGTGAAGAGAGTGGTGAGAGAGTGCAAAAGGAGAGCAGATGAAAGAGTGGGAGAGGCACTGTCAAATTTTAATGAAAATAAGAAAAAATTTTGGAGTTAAACAAGTTAAGAAAGCCTAGGGAAAGTATGGATTTGTCAGTTAAAAACAGAGTAGGGGAGTTAGTAGATGGGGAGAGGGAGGTATTAGGTAGATGGCGAGAATATTTTGAGAAACTTTTAAATGTTGAGGAAGAAAGGGAGGCGGTAATTTCATGCACTGGCCAGGGAGGTATACCATCTTTTAGGAGTGAAGAAGAGCAGAATGTAAGTGTGGTGGAGGTACGTGAGGCATTACGTAGAATGAAAGAGGGTAAAGTAGCTGGAACTGATGGGATCATGACAGAAATGTTAAAAGCAGGGGGGGATATAGTGTTGGAGTGGTTGGTACTTTTGTTTAATAAATGTATGAAAGAGGGGAAGGTACCTAGGGATTGGCGGAGAGCATGTATAGTCCCTTTATATAAAGGGAAAGGGGACAAAAGAGATTGTAAAAATTATAGAGGAATAAGTTTACTGAGTACACCAGGAAAAGTATACGGCAGGGTTATAATTGAAAGAATTAGAGGTAAGACAGAATGTAGAATTGCGGATGAGCAAGGAGGCTTCAGAGTGGGTAGGGGATGTGTAGATCAAGTGTTTACATTTAAGCATATATGTGAACAGTATTTAGATAAAGGTAGGGAAGTTTTTATTGCATTTATGGATTTAGAAAAGGCATATGATAAAGTGGATAGAGGAGCAATGTGGCAGATATTGCAAGTATATGGAATAGGTGGTAAGTTACTAAATGCTGTAAAGAGCTTTTATGAGGATAGTGAGGCTCAGGTTAGGGTGTGTAGAAGAGAGGGAGAATACTTCCCGGTAAAAGTAGGTCTTAGACAGGGATGTGTAATGTCACCATGGTTGTTTAATATATTTATAGATGGGGTTGTAAAAGAAGTAAATGCTATGGTGTTCGGGAGAGGGGTGAGATTAAATTATGGGGAATCAAATTCAAAATGGGAATTGACACAGTTACTTTTTGCTGATGATACTGTGCTTATAGGAGGTTCTAAAGAAAAATTGCAAAGGTTAGTGGATGAGTTTGAGAATGTGTGTAAAGGTAGAAAGTTGAAAGTGAACACAGAAAAGAGTAAGGTGATAAGGGTATCAAATGATTTAGATAAAGAAAAATTGGATATCAAATTGGGGAGGAGGAGTATGGAAGAAGTGAATGTTTTCAGATACTTGGGAGTTGACGTGTCGGCGGATGGATTTATGAAGGATGAGGTTAATCATAGAATTGATGAGGGAAAAAAGGTGAGTGGTGCGTTGAGGTATATGTGGAGTCAAAAAACGTTATCTATGGACGCAAAGAAGGGAATGTATGAAAGTATAGTAGTACCAACACTCTTATATGGATGTGAAGCTTGGGTGGTAAATGCAGCAGCGAGGAGACGGTTGGAGGCAGTGGAGATGTCCTGTCTAAGGGCAATGTGTGGTGTAAATATTATGCAGAAAATTCGGAGTGTGGAAATTAGGAGAAGGTGTGGAGTTAATAAAAGCATTAGTCAGAGGGCAGAAGAGGGTTGTTGAGGTGGTTTGGTCATTTAGAGAGAATGGATCAAAGTAGAATGACATGGAAAGCATATAAATCTATAGGGGAAGGAAAGAGGGGTAGGGGTCGTCCTTGAAAGGGTTGGAAAGACGGGGTAAAGGAGGTTTTGTGGGCGAGGGGCTTGGACTTCCAGCAAGTGTGCATGAGCGTGTTAGATAGGAGTGAATGAAGACGAATGATACTTGGGACCTGACGATCTGTTGGAGTGTGAGCAGGGTAATATTTAGTGAAGGGATTCAGGGAAACCGGTTATTTTCATATAGTCGGACTTGAGTCCTGGAAATGGGAAGTACAATGCCTGCACTTTAAAGGAGGGGTTTGGGATATTGGCAGTTTGGAGGGATATGTTGTGTATCTTTATACGTATATGCTTCTAAACTGTTGTATTCTGAGCACCTCTGCAAAAGCAGTGATAATGTGTGAGTGTGGTGAAAGTGTTGAATGATGATGAGAGTATTTTCTTTTTGGGGATTTTCTTTCTTTTTTGGGTCACCCTGCCTCGGTGGGAGACGACCGACTTGTTGGAAAAAAAAAAAAAAAAACGAGGAATGATTAGTCATGGTTTACAGTGTCCCAATAATTGAACCAGACCTGGTAAAAATCCATAAAACAGACCAGAGAACATAGAAGGGCCTTACATGTCCACAGGAAAATTGTCAAAAACAGAATATTTCTACTACTTTGAGGTTGAATTTAAGCTACTTCTACTCCTGAAACAATAAAAATAATCTCTATTTCAGTAGTATGTTCCATTCTATTAAATGATACCAAGAAACAGCCAATAAACCCATAAAAGACATCATAGAAAATACTGCAAAGTCACTATTTTAAGATGCACAGACTCATCTTCTCATATCTAGGCCAAAATTTACCACTCTCAGCTTATCTGAGTGAGCTGAGCTCAAGACGCATATCTACATGAGGGATCCTGGGGTCAACAGAGTAGATCTATACGATAGACAGTGAAAGAGTTAATTGATCTATAATAAACAATCTAAGTGAAAAGAATGTTCTTGCACTGCAAATGCAAGAATTCCTCTAGCCACACCATCTAACAAGCTAGTCTCCCCATAAGCCTCCCCAATACAACAATCCTGGCATTGTTAACCACCTAGTGGGAATGAAATGCAGTCAAAGAAAATCATCAGAAACAAAAAAGAATCCCTTATTTTACTTTCTGCAAATTTTGATTACTTAAAAAAAGAGTGAGGAATTCCTTGATTTCTATTTTATATAAAGTACTTAAAATTCAAATCTAAGCTCTAAAAATAATTTTATAAGTAAGTGTCAAACAAGAACTCAACTTAATAAAAATCCTTACCATGGTTGAGTATCTGAAATGCGATACTTGGGAGGGTCCAGCTCAAGCTCTTTCTCACTCTCTTCACTTATTATGGAAGAGGTCATGAGATCCTCTTCAACTGGTAAAGAAGAAAGTCCTCCTCGGGGTTTAGCATAACTTCCTGTAATGCCTCTGTCCTTCACATTAGCAAACTCACCATGACACATGAGTTTGAGGAAAGGGCGAGACAAAGGTAGGTCAACAAGTCTGTTGTCCTGTAAAGTTTTTGCCAAAAATATCCCCAGGAAATGAAATAACTCAACTACTTGATCGCAAATTGAGTTATCTTGGGGAAGGGGAGCAGGAAAGAGACCTCCCTGACGGCAGATATAATAGCCTGGAGGTCTTGTCTGCGAGTCACCAGTCCCATTGCCACCATCTAATGCAGGAGGAGTGATGGGGTCAGATGTTTGATCATCACACAACCACATGGACAGATCAGCTCGCTGCAGCTCACCAGCCACAAGAGCATAAAATTCCAGGGTGGGACCTAAACCAGTACCTTCTTCCTCACGGAATTCAACTTCTAAAATGGATTTTCGACTTGCGTGGACACGCATCACCTAAAAGAAAAGTTACTTTTAATTTTTTAGTTGAAGTTACATTAAAAGCAGATATTAACAGAATGAGTATATTTTAGCTTCATTTATTGCACAGTGGAACCTAAAAAATCGAAAGTATCAAATATCAAACGTTTCGAAAATAAGACCATTTTTTCGGACAAACTATGTCCCTATGTCTGCCGGCCCGCTTTGTCCGCCCAGGCGCCGTGAGCAGTCTAGCTTTGTTTATACTTGAGTGAACACTAACCTGCGCTCTCATTCACACATTTTACGATTATTTCGTTGTGTTTAGTGCTTGTGGGACTGTGAAATAAGCTGCCATGGGCCCAAAGAAACTTGCTAGTGGTACCCCTGTGGTAAAGAAAGTGAGAAACACCATAGATGTGAAGAAAGAAATAATACAGAAGTATGAGAGCGGTGTGAGACTTATTGAGCTTACCAGGATGTATGGGAAAAACAAGTCAACCATCGGTTCTATCCTGGCAAAGAAAGAACAAATCAAGGAAGCTGATGTTGCGAAAGGTGTTAATATGCTAACCAAAAAGACCCACAAATAGTTGAAGAGGTTGAGAAGTTGTTGCTGGTGTGGATCAAGGATAAAGAGATTGCAGGTGATAGTGTTTCAGGGGACGATTATTTGCGAAAAGGCAAGGAAGTTGCATGCCGATCTGGTACAGAAAACTCCTGGAACCATTTGCTGGATAGTGAATTTAAGGCCAGCAGAGGCTGGTTTGACTGAATTTAAGAAGCGTAGTGGCATACACAATGTTTGTAAGACATGGTGGGGCACCAGTTCAGACAAACGGGCAGCTGAGAAGTTTGTACAGGAGTTTAAGGGGTACATAGACAGTGAAGAATTCAAATCTGAACAAGTGTTTAATTGTGATGAAACAGGCTTGTTTTGGAAGAAAATGCCAAAAAGGTCCTTCATCACACAGGAGGAAAAGGCACTGCCAGGACACAAGCCTATGAAAGACAGGCTTACTCTTTTATTCTGTGCTAATGCTAGTGGTGATTTTAAAGTGAAGCCTTTACTTGTGTATCATGCAGAAAATCCCAGAGTGTTTAAGAAAAACAATGTCTTTAAGAACAAGTTATGTTTTATTATTTTTATTATCACACTGGCCGATTCCCACCAAGGCAGGGTGGCCCGGAAAAGAAAAACTTTCACTATCATTCACTCCATCACTGTCTTGCCAGAAGGGTGCTTTACACTACAGTTTTTAAACTGCAACATTAACACCCCTCCTTGTCTTGAGGAAAGCTAATCATAAGGCATGGGTCACAAGACAAATTTTCAAAGAGTGGGTCTGTGAAGTGTTTGGCCCCAGTGTGAAAAAATACCTCCAGGAAAAGAAATTGCCACTCAAGTGCCTCCTTTTAATGGACAATGCTCCTGCTCATCCTCCAAACTTATTAGACCTCTTGTCTAAGGACTTCAGTTTTATAAAAGTGAAGTTCTTGCCTCCTAACACCACTCCTCTCCTCCAGCCCATGGACCAGCAGGTCATTTTTAACTTCAAAAAACTCTACACAAAAGCAGTGTTTGAAAAGTGCTTTGAAGTGACCACAGACACTAAGTTGACCCTAAGAGAGTTCTGGAGGAATCACTTCAACATCTACAAATCCATAAGCCTTATAGGTAAGGCTTGGGAGGGAGTGACTTCCAGGACTTTGAACTCTGCTTGGAGACAATTGTGGCCAGATTGTGTCCAAAAGAGGTATTTTGAAGGGTTTGAGGCTGACCCTAAACCCAGCTGACCCTCTGCCTTTTGTGGACTCTATTGTGGCATTGGGGAACACCCTGGGGTTGGAGGTGAATGGTGAGGATGTGGAAGAGTTGGTGAGGACCACGGGGGAAGAGTTAACCCACTGAAGAGCTGCAAGAGCTTCATCTGGAGCAGTATCAGACCACAGCTGAGGAACTTGCTCAGAGGAGGAGGAAGAGGGAGGGGATGAGGTGCCTTCTTAAAAGATTAAGGAGATTTGTGCCAAGTGGAATTGAGTCCAAATGTTTGTGCAGAAGTACCACCCTGAGCAAGCTGAAACAGCCATCTTTGCAAAAAGTTCAGTGACAGAAACCATGTCCCATTTTAGGGAAATGTTAAAGAGGGCCAGAAACAGAGGACTGTGGACAGTTATTTTTGTGAGACGGGGGCCCAGGACTCTCAAGCTGGTCCTAGTGGCATTAAAAGACAGAGAAGGGAAGTAACCCCAGAGGGGTCTTTACCTGAAGTCTCATGGAAGGGATTCTCCTTCCAAACACTAACCCCAACCCCCTCTCTCCTCCTCCCTATCTTCCAGATGCCATCACCAATCTTCAATAAAGGTAAGTAAAAATGTTATTTTATATGTATTACTATACATAATTAAAAACTATAGTATTTGTTGTATGTAAAACTAATTAATCTCTATAAAATGTATTTTTTATGTGAATATTTTTGGGTTTCTGGAACGGATTAATTGTATTTCCATTATTTCTTATGGGAAATATTGCTTCGAATTTCAGACTTTTCGAAATTAGAACTAGCTCCTGGAACGGATTAAGTTCGATTTTTGAGGTTCCACTGTATCAGAAAAAAATAAATTGCATGTATTCTTCTTGTTGCAGGTAGCAGATGCAAATAAGTATTCAATGTTAATGATTTTCAATAAATAATGTATAATTCATCATTACACTATTCATACCACGACTTTCCCAAAGTATTAACATCAAAATATATTAACTGATTCGGTAATAAGTGATCTAGCGATGTTGCATAACAAAATAATTCCAGAGTGCTACAGTGTCATATCCCTTAACATTTAAGTTCATACTCTCACCTGCTGAGCCCATTGAAGAAGATTGGAACCACGAGGCACAGTCACTCTCTCGTGTTTTAGTCGTCCTACTCTATATTCATGAGGGTCATCTCTTCTCAACCCCCCACGTCGCTCCACACTTACATCTCTCTGACTCTGTAGCCACACCAAAGATCTGAAACCATGAGGTTTTAAGGAAAAATATGCAAACAATTATTTAAATCTTAAAATAAGAAATCTTTGTAAATACTGTACATGTTTCCCTTGCTTTATATGATTTCACTTTATGCAAATTTATGTGGAGGCCCAATTTCTACCAGTAATTAATTATATATAATATAAATATGCTTTTATGAAATAACCCAAATCCATAAACACTTGATTTTTTTAAGGCATATGATAGGGGAGCAACGTGGCAGATGTTGCAAGTGTATGGAATAGGTAGTAAGTTACTAAATGCTGTAAAGAGTTTTTACGAGGATAGTGAGGTTCAGGTTAGGGTGTGTAGGAGGGAGATTACTTCATAATAAAAGTAGGCCTTAGACAGGGATGTGTAATGTCACCATGGTTAACATATTTATAGATGGGGTTGTAAAAGAAGTAAATGCTAAGGTATTGGGGAGAGGGGTGGAATTAAATTATGGGGAATCGAATACAAAATGGGAGTTGACACAGCTACTTTCTGCTGATGATACTGTGCTTTTGGGAGATTCTAAAGCAGTGGTATTCATTGCACGGCTCGCGAGCCGCCAGCAGCTTGCGAGCCACTATTAATAACAAGATATGTAGGCTAATTTTTCTCATTTACTATACTGCACTAGCAGCTCAGTACTACTTAATTTAGTTGAGTTACACTAACTTGCAGTAGCTGCGGCTCTCTCAATCAATGTGTTTAACCGAAGTGGCTCTCTTGCAAAAATTAATGAATAACACTGTTCTAAAGGAAAGTTACAAAGATTAGTGGACGAGTTTGGGAGGGTGTGTAAAGGTAGAAAGTTGAGAGTGAACATAGATAAGAATAAGGTGATGAGGGTATCAAATGATTTAGATAAAGAAAAATTGGATATCACATTGGAGGGAGGAAGTATAGAAGAAGTGAATGTGTTCATATATCTGGGAGTTGACTGGTCAGCAGATGGTTTAAGAAGGATGAGGTTAACCAAAGAAATGACAAAAGTAAAAAGGCGAGTGGTGCACGATGTATGAGAATATAGTGGTGCCAACACTTTTATATGGGTGTGAAGCACGAGTTGTCAATGCTGCAGCAAGGAGGCGGCTGGAGGCAGTGGAGATGTCGTGTCTAAGGGCAATGTGTGGTGTAATTATTATGCAGAGAATTCGTAGTGTGGAAATTAGGATGAAGTGTGAAGTTACTAGAAGTATTAGAAGCAGAATAACTTGGAGAGCATATAACCCTGTAGGGTAAGGAAGGCAGGGTAGGTGTCATCCTAGGAAAGGTTGGAGGGAAGGGATAAAGGAGGTTTTGCGAGTGAGGGGCTTGGACTTCCAGCAAGTATGCATGAAAGTGTGCATGAGTGTGTTAGATAGGAGTAAATGGAGACGAATGGTTTCTGGGACCTGATGAGCTGTTTGAGTGTGAGCAGGGAAATATTTTTTGAAGGGATTTAGGGAAACTGGTTAGCCAGACTTGAGTCCTGGAGGTGGAAAATACAATGCCTGCACTTTTAAGTGAGGGATTTGGGATATTGGCTGTTTGGAGGGACATCTAAACTATTGTATCTGAGCTCCTCTACAAAGACAGTGATTATATATGAATGATGGTGAAAATGTTGACCGACGTGTTAAAAAAACTTTTTAAATATCACTCTAAACTTGTTATACCATCATTAATAAGAAATAAAAGAGCAAACAGATTTGGAGGCAGGAAATCCAGTGAAATTCTATGGCTGGTTTTCAATTTAACCTTTTAACTGTGTGACTAACGGATTAGTATGCAAGTGACAAAGATGTGTCCAACATACTCTCTGTATGGAAAGTTGTGATGCTGGTTGCAGGATAAGCTTTTGATCATTGAAACTTATGGCAGCAGGTGGTTGAAGTCTGGACTTCCATACATCAATTACAAGTGGGGCCATTGAGCTTTGGGTTAAACTCTGCACTATGTGCAATGAAACTCAGATGATGGCATATGTAATAGATAATAATGTCAGAAGAGGATATTGTTTTGTTCTACCATTATTATCCATCTAATACCCCATTATTTGATCTTTACTGAATATAGTTCAGAGTCTGACCCATGTGTGGACGAGCCCACTCTTGAAACTGCATAGTCCCACATGTAATTGGTGTATGAGAGTTACCCAAGATTTCTAAAAGGTTCAGCCTTCAACCATCTGCTGCCATATACTTTAGTGATCTAAAGTTTGTTCTGCAGCTGGCTTCACAATTTTCCATGCAGACCATACTAGGGAAGGGGAAGGGGACACACCTTTGATATACCTTTGAAGAGTCCCAAGAGTTTAAGTACTCTCTGAGCCTGGCCATGGGCCAGGCTCGTCTGGTGCTTGCCTGGTCAACCAGGCTGTTGCTGCTGGAGGCCCACTGCCCCACATATCCATCACAGCCTGGTTGATCTGGCACCTGGTGAAGATACTTGTCCAGTTTCCTCTTGAAGGCTTCTACACTTGTTCCAGCAGTGTCTCTGATATCTTCTGGTAAGATGTTGAATAGTCTGGGACCCTGTATGTTGATACAGTGTTCCCTTATTGTCCCCACTGCACCCCTGCTCCTCACTGGGTTTATTTTACACTTCCTCCCATATCTCTCACTCCAGTATGCTGCTATGGCAGTATGTAGATTTGGGACCAGGCCTTCGAGTATTTTCCAGGTATATATTATCATGTACCTCTCTCCCCTCTGCTCCAATGAATACATGTTCAAGACTTGCAGGCATTCCCAGTAAACAGATATGATGTAATCAGATCTGTTTATGGTTCAATGTGAGATGTAAACAGATCTGATTACATCAAAAAGAGGCGAGTCCTAATGGGTTTCACCATGGATTTGCAAGGAGCAGAAGCACTGTCCAAATCACTAGCTATAAACCTACAATAAGTAAGTGAACAGAGGACAGTTGCCAGAGATCTGGAAGACAGCTAACTTAGCACCTACATGCAAGGAGATGGACAGGAGGCACTGAACTACAAGCAAGTTTCACTGTGATACTCCAATACTAAAACTATGTATTGTGCAAAAACAAAAACATTCACATTGCTAAACTCACAAACTAGTATTTAGTCACTTAGCCATAATACCAACTTACCTCATAATTTGTAATATTTTAAAGTTAAGAATTAATCTAAGTCTGCCCGAAATGCCTAGCCATGCTAGGTGTTCTAGTGGCCCCCTCTGTAATCAGTATTTTAAAACATGTAAACCACACAATATCCAAATTCTGTAAACTCAGCATTGTAATCCTTACGGAGAATAAACTTGATTTGATTTGATTTGACATATATACCATGAAAGGTAATGGAGAAGATAGTCAGAAGGAGAGTGGAGGAGCACTTGGTGAGAAGTGGTTTCATAAACAACAACCAAAACTGGTTCAGAGATGGCAAAGTCTTGTCTTACCAACCTTATGGATTTCTAAACGAGATAGGAGAGAGTGGGATGTGCGGATTGCACTTTCTTAGACTGCAAGAAGTCATTTGATACTGTACCCAACATGAGACTGGGGCAAAAATTTAAGAAGCAGGCAAGAATAAATGGGAATGTACTTTGGTGGATTGAGAAGCACCTTAAGGAGAAGAAGCAAAAACTGAATGCCCAGGAAGAAATATCAGAATGAGGAAGAATAACAAGTAGTGTACCACAAGGATCGGTATTAGTACCGGTGGTTTCTGGTCTATGCGAATGACATACCAGACTATATTCCTGAAATCATTGCTATACATAATTTTGTGATATGCAGTTTCATATGTAATCAAAACAACATATGAGGAAAAAAGGGTTAGGTTCTGAACACCTCAAAAAAAAGCCAGACAAGTTTTTTTTTATTTCAACAAGTCGGCCGTCTCCCACCAAGGCAGGGTGACCCAAAAAGAAAAAAAATCCCCAAAAAGAAAATACTTTCATCATCATTCAACACTTTCACCTGGCTCACACATAATCAGTTTTTTGCAGAGGTGACAGAATACAACAGCTTAGAAGCATATACGTATAAAGATACACAACATATCCCTCCAAACTGCCAATATCCTGAACCCCTCCTTTAGAATGCAGGCATTGGACTTCCCATTTCCAGGACTCAAGTATTTTTTTTTTTTATTATCACACTGGCCGATTCCCACCAAGGCAGGGTGGCCCGAAAAAGAAAAACTTTCACCATCATTCACTCCATCACTGTCTTGCCAGAAGGGTGCTTTACACTACAGTTTTTAAACTGCAACATTAACACCCCTCCTTCAGAGTGCAAGCACTGTACTTCCCATCTCCAGGACTCAAGTCCGGTCTGCCGGTTTCCCTGAACACCTTCATTAATGTTACTTTGCTCACACTCCAACAGCATTTCAAGTATTAACCCTTTCAGGGTCCGTCCCGTAGATCTACGGCTTTACGTTCAGGGTCCAAACCGTAGATCTACGCCATGAGCTCAGCTCACTCTGATAAACTGTGAGTGGTACATTTGGGCCTAGATATGAGAGAATACATCTATGTGGTATGTGTGCACCACATAAAACAGATTCTGCAGCACACTGTGTATAATGAGAGAAAAAAATGAAATCATGATTTTTCGATTAAAACAGCAACTTTGCAGTGTTTTTTCGTATGTTTTTTTATATTGATTTGCGATTTCTTTGGTCTCATTTGATAGAAGAAGACATATTACAGATAGAGATGATTACCGGAGGGGGGCCCAAAAAAAAACCAACATTCCTATCCCCTTTTTAAAAAATTTTTACACTACTTTTTTTAAACGACTTAAAATTTAAGTAAGATTATTATCCCCGGTAAGCCGGCCCTTTTCCCCTTTCCCTCTTAATGTTTTTTTAACCCCAAAAAATTCCTTTAAAACCTTTTTTGGGTCCCCCCAGATTATTTTAATTTTGGAAAAATGTTTCCCTTCCCCCCAATAAAGTATGGAAAAGGGGGAAAGGGAAAAAAAAACCCTTTTGGTTTTTTCCCACCAATAAAACTTTGGCAACTTTTTTT